CTGTGTCACTGTGTGTGCCCCGCCCCGCAGTGAGTGCCACCACTGTGTCACCTGTGTGTCACCTGTGTCACTGTGTGTGCCTGGCCCCGCAGTGAGTGCCACCACTGTGTCACCTGTGTGTCACCTGTGTCACTGTGTGTGCCCCGCCCCGCAGTGAGTGCCACTGTGTCACCCCTGGGTGTCACCTGGGTCACCTGTGTCACCTCTGTGTCACTGTGTGTCACCTCTGTGTCACCTGTGTCACTGTGTGTGCCCCGCCCCGCAGTGAGTGCCACTGTGTCACCTGTGTCACCTGTGTCACCTGTGTCACCTGGGTGTCACCTGGGGGTCACCTGTGTCACCTGAGTGTCACCTGTGTCACTGTGTGTGCCCCGCCCCGCAGTGAGTGCCACTGTGTCACCTGTGTCACCTGTGTCACCTGTGTCACCTGGGTGTCACCTGGGGGTCACCTGTGTCACCTGAGTGTCACCTGTGTCACTGTGTGTGCCCCGCCCCGCAGTGAGTGCCACTGTGTCACCTGTGTCACCTGGGGGTCACCTGGGGGTCACCTGGGGGTCACCTGTGTCACCTCTGTGTCACCTCAGTGTCACTGTGTGTGCCCCGCCCCGCAGTGAGTGCCACCCCCGTGTCACCTGTGTCACCTGGGGGTCACCTGGGGGTCACCTGTGTCACCTGTGTGTCACCTGTGTGTCACCTGTGTCACCTCTGTGTCACCTGTGTGTGCCCCGCCCCGCAGTGAGTGCCACTGTGTCACCTGGGTGTCACCTGGGTGTCACCTCTGTGTCACCTGTGTCACTGTGTGTGCCCCGCCCCGCAGTGAGTGCCACCCCTGGGTGTCACCTGGGTCACCTGAATCACCTGTGTCACCTCTGTGTCACCTGGGTGTCACCTTTGTCACCTGAGTGTCTCCTGTGTCACTGTGTGTGCCCCGCCCCGCAGTGAGTGCCACTGTGTCACCTGTGTCACCTGGGTCACCTGAATCACCTGTGTCACCTCTGTGTCACCTGGGTGTCACCTGTGTCACCTGAGTGTCACCTGTGTCACTGTGTGTGCCCCGCCCCGCAGTGAGTGCCACCTGAGTGTCACCTGTGTCACCTGAATGTCACCTGGGTGTGACCTGAGGGTCACCTGAACGTCACCTGGGTGTCACCTGGGTGTCACCTGATTGTCCTCCGGGTGTCCCCTGGGTGTCCCCCGGGTGTCACCGTCCCCCGGTGTCCCCGCAGGTTCCGCTGGACGCGCGAGGGCCGCCCGTTCCCGTCGCCGTCGCTGTCCCCGGCGGAGCTGGGGGGGGTCTCGGTGTCCCCCGGGGGGGGGACCTTGGTCATCAACGCCAGCCTGGCCGGGCGCCTGCAGGGCCGGTTCCGCTGCGCCGCCAGCAACGCGCTGGGGACCGCGCTGTCCCCCGAGAGCCGCCTCATCGCCGAGAGTGAGCCTAAATCCCCTAAATCCACCCCAAAATAACCCCAAAGTAACCCCAAAACCGCACTGGGGACCGCGCTGTCCCCCGAGAGCCGCCTCATCGCCGAGAGTGAGCCTAAATCCCCTAAACTGCCCCAAAAATAACCCCAAAACCCACCCCGAAACCGCGCTGGGGACCGCGCTGTCCCCCGAGAGCCGCCTCATCGCCGAGAGTGAGCCTAAATCCCCTAAATCCACCCCAAAAATAACCCCAGGGACCGCGCTGTCCCCCGAGAGCCGCCTCATCGCCGAGAGTGAGCCCAAATCCCCTAAACACACCCCAAAATAACCCTGAAATAACCCCAGGGACCGCGCTGTCCCCCGAGAGCCACCTCATCGCCAAGAGTGAGCCTAAATCCCCTAAACACACCCCAAAATAACCCCAAAGTAACCCCGAAACCGCGCTGGGGACCGCGCTGTCCCCCGAGAGCCGCCTCATCGCCGAGAGTGAGTGCCCAAATCCCCTAAATCCAACCCAAAAATAACCCCAGGGACGGCGCTGTCCCCCGAGAGCCGCCTCATCGCCAAGAGTGAGCCTAAATCCCCTAAACACACCCCAAAAATAACCCAAAATAACTCCAAAATCCTCCCGACCCTCTCGGGGACAGCATGGGAGTGCCTGGCTGGGTTTGGGGTCCCCGGTTGGTTTTGGGGTCCTGTTTGGGGGGTCCCATTTTTGGGGTCCCGATTGGGGTCCCTTTTTGGGGTGCCGATTTTGGGGTCCCGGTTTTGGGGTCCCGTTTTTGGGGTCCCGTTTGGGGTCCCGGCCGTTTTTGGGGTGCCGTTTGGGGGTCCCGTTTTTGGGGTCCCGTTTCGGGGTCCCGTTTTTGGGGTGGCGTTTGGGGTGCCCAGCCGGTTTTGGGGTCCCGTTTTTGGGGTGCCGTTTGGGGGTCCCGTTTGGGGGTCCCGTTTCGGGGTCCCGTTTTTGGGGTCCCGTTTCGGGGTGCCCGTTTCGGGGTGCCCGTTTTGGGGTTCCCTTTCGGGGCGCCCGTTTTGGGGTGCCCGTCTTGGGGTGCCTTTTTTGGGGTGCCGTTTGGGGGTCCCGGTCGGTTTTGGGGTCCGTTTTTGGGGTTCCCTTTGGGGTGCCCGTTTTGGGGGTGCCGTTTGGGGGTCCCGTTTTGGGGTCCCGTTTCGGGGTGCCGGTTTTGGGGTGCCGTTTTGGTGTCCCGTTTTTGGGGTTCCCTTTGGGGTGCCCGTTTTGGGGGTGCCGTTTGGGGGTCCCGGTCGGTTTTGGGGTCCGTTTTTGGGGTTCCCTTTGGGGTGCCCGTTTTGGGGGTGCCGTTTGGGGGTCCCGGTCGGTTTTGGGGTCCGTTTTTGGGGTTCCCTTTGGGGTGCCCAGCCGCTGTCCCCCCAGGCACGCCGCAGTGGCCCAAGGAGAAGGTGACGCCGGTGCAGGTGGAGGAGGGGGACCCCGTGGTGCTGCCCTGCGACCCCCCCAAAAGCGCCGTGCCCCCCAAGATCTACTGGCTCAACAGCCGTGAGCAAATGGGGCTGGGGGCTGGGGGGGATCCCGCACCCCGGAACCCCAAAATCCTCCCCTGAATCCCCAAATCCTCCCTGAACCCCAAAATCCTCCCTGAACCCTGACATTCCCCCCAAAATCCTCCTCTGAACCCCAAAATTCTCCCCGAAATCCCCAAATCCTCCCCTGAACCCCAATATTCCCCCCCAAAATTTCCCTCAAAATCCTTCCCTGAACCCTCAAAATCCTCCCCTGAACCCCAACATTCACCCCAAAATCCTCCCCTGAACCCCAAAATCCTCCCCTGAACTCCCCAAAATCCTCCCCGGATACCCCAAATTCTCCTCTGAATCACCAAAATTCACCCCAAAACCCCAAATTCCTTCCCTGAACCCCAAAATCCTCCCCTGAACCCCAAAATTCCCTTCAAACCCCCAAAATCCTCCCCTGAACCCAAACATTCCCCCCAAATCCTCCCCAAAACCCCAAAATCCTCCCCTGAACTCCCCCAAATCCTCCCCTGAACCCCCAAAATTCCTCCCAAAATCCTCCCCTGAACCCTCAAAATCCTCCCCGAACCCCCAAATCACCTCTGCCACGCCCAAATCCCCCCAAAAAACCCCAAATCCTCCCCTGGTACCCCTTAAACCCACATGACACCCCCCTAAATCTTCCCTGAACCCCCAAATCCTCCCTGAACCCCCCCACAATTTCCCCCAAAACCCCCAATATCCCAAATCCACCTTCAGGGACCCCAAAACCTCCCCGGGGACCCCAAAAACCATCCAGGGACCCCAAAATCCCAAATCCCCCTCTAGGAAACCCCAAGACCCCTCTAGGGAACCCCAAAATCCCTCTAGGGGACCCCAAAACCCAAATGCGCCTTCAGGGACCCCAAAACCCCCTCCAGGGCCCCCCAAAAACTCCAAATCCCCCTCTAGGGCACCCCAAAACCCCTCCAGGGGACCCCAAAACCCATCCAGGGACCCTAAAACCCCTCCAGGGCACCCCAGAAACCCTCCAGGGTGCCCCAAAACCTCCTTCAGGGACCCCAAAACCCCAAATCCCCCTCTAGGGCACCCCAAATCCCTCTCCAGGGACCCCAAAACCCATCCAGGGGACCCCAAATCCCAAATGCACCTTCAGGGACCCCAAAACCCCCTCTAGGGGACCCCAAATTCCCCTTCAGGGCACCCCAAAATCCCAAATCCACTTTTAGGGCATCCCCAAATTCCCCTGTAGGGGACCCCAAACCCTAAATTCCCCTCCATGGGATCCCAAAACCCCAAATCCACCTTTAGGGACCCCAAAATCCCAAATCCCCCTGTAGGGGATCCCTGAACTCCAAATCCCCCTACAGGGACCTCAAAACCCCAAATCCCGCTTTAGGGGACCCCAAATCCCCTTTAGGGACCCCAAATCCCCGATCCACCTTTAGGGGACCCCAAATCCCCCTCTAGGGGACCCCAAATCCCCCTTTAGAGACCCCAAAACCCCCTTTAGGGAATCCCCAAACCCTCAAATCTCCCTTCAGGGGACCCCAGACCCTCAAATCTGGGGGGGCACTGTGTGTGCCCCGCCCTTTAGGGTTTTTCTCTCCCCAGGGATCGTGCACATTGCCCAGGATGCCCGGGTGAGCATGGGCCAGGACGGGTTCCTGGGGCACGTTTAGGATCAGGTTTAGGGTCAGATTTAAGGCAGTTTTAAGGCAGGTTTAGGGCAGGTTTAAGGCAGGTTTAGGCTCAGATTTAGGGTTTTTCTCTCCCCAGGGATCGTGCACATCGTGCAGGACGCGCGAGTCAGCATGGGCCAGGACGGGTTCCTGGGGCTGGCTTGGGGGCAGGTTTGGGGGCAGGTTAAGGGTCAGGTTTAGGATCAGGTTCAGGATCAGTTTTAGGGCAGGTTTAAGCCCAGTTTTAGGCTCAGTTTTAGGATTTTCGTCCCGCAGGGATCGTGCACATTGCCCAGGATGCCCGGGTGAGCATGGGCCAGGACGGGTTCCTGTACTTTGCCAACGCCCAGGTCGGGGACAGCCACCCCGACTACATCTGCCACGCGCACTACCTGGGGCCGCGCACCATCATCCAGAAGGAGCCGCTGGACCTGCGCGTCAGCCCCAGTGAGGGACCCCAACACCCCCGGGGACCCCAAATCCCAAATCCACCTTCAGGGACCCCAAAACCTCCTTCAGGGGACCCCAAAACCCCTCCAGGGGACCCCAAATGCACCTTCAGGGATACCAAAAACCCAAATCCCCCTCTAGGGAACCCCAAAACCCAAACACACCTTCAGGGACCCCAAAACCTCCTTCAGGGGACCCCAAAACCCATCCAGGGACCCCAAAACCCCTCCAGGGGACCCCAAAACCCAAATGCACCTTCAGGGATTATCCTGGGTTCATGCCAGGTGTATCCTGGTTTAATCCCAAAATCTCCTTCAGGGACCCCAAAACCCCAAATACACCTCTAGGGCACCCCAAAACCCAATTCAGAGCACCCCAAATCCCAAATGCACCTTCAGGGACCCCAAAACCCTCAAACCCCCTCTAAGGGACCCCAAATCCCAAATACGCCTTCAAGGACCCCAAAAACCCTCCAGGGCACCCCAAAACCCCCTCTAGGGGACCCCAAAACCACTCTAGGGGACCCCAAATCCCCAAATACACCTTCAGGGGACTCAAAAACCCCAAATCCCCTTTTAGGGACCCCAAAATCCTAAATGCACCTTTAGGGACCCCAAAACCCCCTTCACGGACCCCAAATCCCCTCCAGGGTACCCCAAAACCCAAATACACCTTCAGGGAACCCCCAAACCACAAATCTACCTTTAGGGGACCCCAAAACCCCCTTCAAGGACCCCAAAATCCCAAATCCCCCTGTAG